GGAAACCGTATTGCCATCAAGCTCCAAAGTAATTCATCGGCATACCCCTGCTGTCCTTATAAAGAGAGCAAAGGACATTTCAAACCACATACCCCGTCCCGTGGGATTCCTGCATGTGAATCATGACCTGAACCTGTCCCCACGTATGCGCGATCTGTTGGCCCAGAGATATATCCTTCGGAGGGCGAGTAGATTAAAAAATATTAAAAATGAACATACATCCCTCATTCGGCAATACCTTTAAGTAAAAAGATCGTAAGTGCATATGATCGATTGCAAATAATACGACGATCGATGCCTGCGCATGGGGCACCGGGCTGCATTGAGCTATCTGCGCTTAGAAGACATCATGCAATAGTCGTAATACCTTCCATAGTATTTGCAGAGTTTATATCTATATACAAGGGTGCATGCGCTTTGTTCATGGAGAAAGGCTTATTCGCCGTGTATCGCAAGCTCATTCCTGCGCTCTGAAAAAACAACACTTATATGGGGAGGACCATATCTGTCCCTCCGGTGCATGCAATCATGCGAACTCTATAATCTTACGCCCATATAAAACTCCGTCCAATACACTCAAACCATTGGCGAGGGAAGATACAGCTCCCTATTGGGCTGCTATACTCGGGAGACATAAGTGCCTAATGAGTTATTCCCCGTGAGGTTCGAAAAAAATTGATCGTAGCTCCAAAGAGGGGGAGCGATACCAACCAACGGCCCGCCCGTGGATCAATCCGTAACCCGATCGAGCGTCGTCAGTGGGATCGTTCTTCCACCCAAGGCCAGCGTGAAAAACAACCACATATTTAGTCCCTTTGATTACCCTGGTGGAATCCAAACATACTTGTACATGCATGTAGACTTATAATTTCCATTCAAAATGCATAGTAAGAAATACGCATTCCCATCATACCCATTTCTAAGCAATCCAATCATACGCATATCATCGGGAATATCGGTGTCCGTCATATGAGACCAAGAGCTATCAGCGCCTTCTACCATAGTATCCAATGCCCTCGCCGTTTTCTGTCGGTCGATACGTAGATCGATCTTATGCCTGGAGGCAACCCCGCTAGTCACAAAAAATTCTTTTATATACATATATACCTACACATGTTTTCATAGATATACTTATATACAGGGTTGCCGGCCTTCGGGACGACCCGAACGCCCGAACTTGAATGCCCGAACATTTGGGACCCCCTCTCGACGCGTTCGGACGTTCGGCCGAACGCGGAACCGAAAAAAAAAAAAAAAAAAAAAAAAAAAAAAAAAAAAAAAAAAAAGAAGGTTTCCAAACATTCTGTAAGAAAACTATGTCATGCAGAAGAATAAACTAAACAACATTTGCCTCAACAGTACATCCAAATTCCTTAAAATCAAATACGAAAAATAGATAATATTTATGAAAATAAGAAAAAATAAAACGAGAATGAAATTATCGCGTGGGCGAGCAAGTTTTTGACACCGCCATCTTTGGCGATTTTTCTTTTTTTTTTGGATTTTTCAAATGCCATAAAATTTTATACATATGTATCTTCAATAATGGAGATTTTACAAATAAAGTTTGAAAAAATAATAATTTTTTTCAGGCTCCGAAATAAAGGGAAAACAAAAAGTGAAAAGAGAAAAAAAACAAATTAGTAAGTGGGAAAGCAAGTTTTGAAATCACCATCTTTGCCGATTTTTTATTATTTTTTGGCTCCACAAAATGACTTCAAAATTGAGAGATAGATAGCTTACATTACAGAGAACTCACAAAAAAAAATCAGAAAAAAAAAAAAATTTTCTGGTACCAAAATATTTTTTTGTGGGGTCCGAACCCCTTCGAGTTCGGGCCCCGTTCGGGGACCCGAACGCACGAACGTTCGGGGGTCATCTTAGGGGCCTCCGTACGCTCGGCCTGGCAACTCTGCTTATATATAAGTCATGCATCGTAGTCGTTATTCCCCACCTCCGCCTTTAACTCATAGCATTGGTCATTATTTTTCATCTCCGCCTTTTAACCCATTATTTTCCACCTCCGCTCTTAACCCATCTATTACCGATCGATCCGATCATATACATACCATCGAGAATATCGGTATTCGTCATATGAGACCAAGAGCTATCAGCGTTTCTAGTCATAGTATCCAATCCCCTCGCCGATCTTTGTCCGCTAATACGCGGATGGATCTAATGCCTGGAGGCAACCGTGCTCGTCATAAAAGATTCCTCTATATACACATACATTCATATATATACTTATACACACGTCACGTATCGTAGTCATTATTCCCCACCTCCGCCCCCTAAGTCATAGCATTGGTGCCATCCATTATAGTATCAATTCCTTCGCCGATCGTGGTCGGACGAAGGTGGATGGATACTATGTCTGGAGGTAACCTGGCTTGTTAAGAGCTTGACTTAATATAATTATAGGTTATGCCCCATACTCATTACTTCCTCACATCTGTCCCTAAATCAGCCAATCATTCATCGATCGTAAACCAAGAACATAAGTAAACACAATTCAAAGACAAGTATACGTCGAGTACACATCCAACGCTCTCCTTACAACAAATAATGAATTCTCTTCCGGCCAGAAAGCTAAAGTGTCATCTCCTTCTCCTCCTTCACGAACTACAGACAATATGACAAGAGTACATGTACGAAAAAAATGAACGAACATGAAGAAACTAGCTGCATCCGCAGAGGCAGTTCCGCATAATATGGGAGGCCTGCCACGACAGCTAAAGCAGGGAGGGTAGTGACGATCCCTGAAGCGCTTGTCTGCCGCTAGCCACAAGTACACAGCTTCATCAGAGGGAACACCTGGTATATAGTCATACATGCTTCGGCAGTCGGAGTGGCGAGGGCGACGGCATAGCCCGGAAGTGGTGCAAGAAGGCAAGGAAAGAAAGGAAAGCAAGCAAAGCAACAAAAGCGAGCGAAACATAGGCCGACATCTCGATAGCTACCCCCATCTTCTCCTCCACCCCCTCTCCGTTCAACGTCATTGACCCCAACTCGATCAATCTGCAAACTGCCCAACGCTAGAATTGAAATGGAAAGAAGACTAGCATCATCAACAGTTCACCCCTCCCGCGTGCAAAGCGAGAACAACGCAAAGAATGGAAGAACGTGCAGTTTCTTAGCGCATGTGTGGCATCCGAAATATGAAGTTCTGGAGGTGAGGGCGAGGAAGCTTATACCCTGTCTTCTTCGTCATCGATCTTCCGATCCAGCAATTCCTGGTCCACCTGGTAGTCCATGGCGAAGGCAGCTGCGAAGCACCGACGTCCCGGTACAGGGCTCCGAACACCGTCTGCCCGATCTTCTGTCAGCTGGAATGCCAGCTGCCGTTCGGCCCGCAATCCTGAATTACGGTCGAGCGGAAAGCCTGCTCTGTGTTGCGATGATGGGAGTCGGGGGGATATTCCTGTTGCTCAAATAGTGCCCCGTCATCGTCACTTTCCGAGAGATATTGCCCGCAGACAATACAAACGTCGATGGTGACCTGCGGCGGGAGTGATTCAAACAACAAATACGAAAAAAACAAACATAATAGCAGAAAAGTTCAAAATGACTTCCCTTGATTGGGGGGATATGACCCGTTTCATGCGCCATTTGATCGTCCTACCCAATTGGTCGAAACGTCACTTCCGTCGATCCGTGTAAAAAATAAGGAAAAAAGAAAGAAAAGAAGAAATGACGAAAAACAAAAAAGAAGAAGAGGAAAAAAGGGGAAAAAAACGAAAAAAGAAAAAAAGAAGAAACAGAAGAAAAAAGGTGCTTCGTCATCATCACTCTCCGAGGGGTACTTGCCAGAGGGCGATACAAGCGTGACGTTAGAAAGTAGAACCCAAGTCAAAAAAGGACAAAAGAAGACAAAAACAAAAACAAAAATAAACAAAAAAATAAGAAAAATTTGAAAAAACGGCTCCAGATTTGTGAGGATACGATCCATATCACATGCCCTTGGCTTTCCCTATCAGTTGAGTGAACCATCACTACCTGGAGAATGCGAATGCCTTGCCGTTCGTTCCAGTGCGCGCACGGGCTGTGCGCATAATCGGACTCATGTTTATTGTAGGTTGTGAGCATTCTCCTGGCCCATAACTGCTGTCATGTGCTTACTTATTTGTGGCGTAGTATGCTCTAAATGCGATTGTACGATAACTGGGTGAGTCGCCTCGTCGTACTCGTTCGGATTTCTTGGTCATCACTATTTCGCACAATTTTTCATCACGGTTTATCTTTTATTATTTATTACTTATTTATTTATTTCCTCGTTTTGCCCTGCCCCTTTATGCCTTTACCCGTTGCTACCTGTACTCGGTGTTTTCTTCCCTTCTTCAAACGTCCTCGCTCCTCGTCCCCTGTTATGTGTGTGTGTGTGTGTGTGTGCCCCACCCCTCTCCCACCGGTAAGTGAGCCACAGGCCGTAAGGTTGGATGCCGGGAGGCATCGGGCCTATCCAGCCCGTAGCGCCCCGGTCCCACACACACTCTGAAACACCACAGAACACAGATTAGTACATGCCATATCTGGTGATCAGATTGACCTTTACCATTCGTCAATCACCCTGCCGGGTTGGTATCTCTGCATATTGTGGAAAACCTTGTCCACAACCTTCCAACATTCCGTTGTTCCAAATCGGTTTGCGACCATAGTCTATACTAAGTTGTTAATTTCCAGGGCACCTTCCTGCTCATCTAAGCAGATAACGAGGGACAAAACGGTTTGCGCCATCAGAATCTCCATAGACTGTGCGATGGAGCGATTGGATTTAAACTTCATGAATTTCATGGGGGAGAACGATGGGCCTTTCTTCTTATCGTGCTTCGAGGTGAAGTACGTGTCGTCCCTGGTGGACATGACCGTTAGCGAGAGGTTAAGAAAATTTGCGGCTCTCCCGTGCCCATCGATCACAACTTCTGTTGTTTCTTTAACGTCGATGAAATCGTGCGGGTAGATCCTGCGGCCCGGGTTCTGACCATGGACACCGTTTTTGAGGAAATCGGTAATGATCGTGTTGTTTAGAGAACACGGATCATCTATATATCAGTAGGTGTCTTCGAAGCATCTAACTGCCGCCCAATCTTGCATTTTGACCAGGTGCGAGATTAGTTCGTACTCATACTTAAAGAAATACATATCACAGAAGATAGGGGAACAAGCCAATCCCATGGGAATCCCGAGGATCTGTTTCCAGACCCTGTTCCCCATCTGTACCATCCCGTTGGAGAGGAGCCATTCACAGACGCCGATGATCCCTTGCTCGTCGGAGTACAGCCTGTCTCTGTCCCTGTCCTGATCGCCAGCTACCCAATAAGGGGGCAGCGTGTCGTTTGCTGCGACCTTGATCGTGATGACATCCCTGGTCGTCCCGGACCTCCTCCATTCCATGGCGCAGCTAACAAAGAAACTGATTGCCTTCAGCAGCCCGTCCTCTGATTCGTCCGTGGGTATCGTCTCAAAACACCTTGTGATATCCCTGGTGAAAATGGAGTCGAGGCGCCGTGGGATGTTTGCAACGAACTCCCTTGTCGAGGAGATCGGCCACCAGAAGTTGGGTTTGACCCCATGCTCGACACGAACCTCTTCGCTCTTACTTCTGCAGAGGGCCTGATCATCCCCCGCCAGGAGCTTCAACAAACATTTGCAGACGTCTGCCACCGGGGAGAGCACTGAGCCCGCCGTGTTCGTGATCCATCTGAATGACTACTTGTGTGCTTTGTATACCGTCATGAGGTGCGGTAGTGGCAGCGCCTCGTGTCCAACATGAGTGTAGGCAGCGGCCTCTTTTATTAGCCTTGTCGCAGCCTGCTCCGGCGTATCCGGGAGCGGTGTGAAGTCCGGCCCCGAGAGTCTCTGCAACGTCAGCCGCCTGATGAAGTTAATGCAGACGAATGTGGGGGTGTGTGGCGCCTTGTCCGTAGGACAAACCAGATACCTGCTTTTCAACCACTCGATCTCGCCCCTTACCACCACGCTATTGATTGGCTCGCCTGAGATATGCATATGCTTCGCACGAAAGCTCCTAAAGGACTTCCTCGCATTCTCTCGCACGATCGCCTTCACACGCCTCTCCTCCCCTAAGGACAACTCTTCATCGCATTTCCGTGTGGTCAGTATCTTTTCCAGCGCCATCTCGACCTCGTCCATCACAAACTCCTCATCGAGCGATCTGAGCGGGATGTGATTCAGGCCCGCGTTAAGCATGAGCTGCATCTGGCCATTGTTCGTCACGCCGGTATCATTCGTGATGACGTGCACGGCACCTTCTTCCGGGAGCATCTTGATGGTGGCAGTGTTGAGGAACTCGGCGTGCCTCCCTGCGCCGCACAGCCAGAACTCTGGCACATACCCCGCTTCCCACTCGTTCATCCTGAACCTTCTGAACACCTTTGCCGGTTTGCAAACCTTGGCACCTAAAGCTTCGTCATACCGCGACCCGATGATCACATCCTCCAGCCACCTTGCGGATCTCTCCCCCATCACTTGCTTCAGTGTCTCGAGGATCATGCTTCTCAGGGGTACTGCGCCCATAAGCCTGCTCGTGTATCTGACGTGTACAAACTGGTCTTGCTCCCGCTCCCTCCTTTTCCACGCGGATCTTCCTGACGGAAGCACGATCATGCAGCCTCCTTCCTCCGGGTCGAAGTTCTCATCCTGCGTGGTGCACGGAAGCTCATAGGTGGGCGGACCATTGTTAGAGGGGACACTGTGTTGATGATTGATTAGTGAAAGGCTGGAGGAGCAGCCCCTGACAGGCAATATATAGATATAGTTAGATTGCATTGATTATTAGGAAAATAAGGCAGCAGCAGGGAGAGGGGGAAAAGAAAGGGGGGGTAAAAAAGGGGGGGGGAAATCAAATAAGGAAGAGAGAATGAGAAGAAGAAAGAAGGAAAAAGAAAAAAAGAAAAAAAAAATCACGCAACACGTGACCATCACCGAATGATTGATTCGTTAGAGAAGAACTCACGCGGGTGCGTGGTTCAGATCCTTGCGTGTGTGCGTCAAGGGGTGCCGATGCAACCTCTCTTTCCCTTTTTTCCCCCGTTGGAGGACCCATTGTTCCGTAATGCGCTAATCTTAGTGGATTCCGCCGTGGAGATCGCCGATCCCGTATGTGAGGAAAGTAGTCGAGAGCTACCCCTGCCTCTGGCTCTTTGCGCTTCTACCGCCATGTTGTGCAACCCTCTGCCTCCCATCTGCTCCTGTGGCTGACGAACGCCTCCTGCTCAATCCTGCGATCCTCCCCCACCTGAGGCACCCGCATTGTGCGGGAGGTCCCTGGCGGGCACATCTGCTGCGCCACGTCCACCCTGTCCCTTGGTTCGTAGGGAAGTACCCTTTGCCGGGGAGAGACGACTATAGTTAGGTTGTTGCGTTGCCTTTTCTTGGTGTTCCCTTGCTCGTTCCGGTTGCCCCTGGCTCTGACCCTTGGATTACCCGTGATTTTTGTGGGGAGCAATACCCTGCCGATGGTCAGCAGGGTGTTGTATCTCCATTTTTCCTTGCAGATGACGGACTCAGCGGTGAGGGAAGGATCTTTTTGGAGCGAGGAGATCACATCGGTCATGATGTCCAGTATGAACATGAAGGTAAGACATGCCTCTACCGTGGGTTTCCATGATACACGCAAAAAGTGGATGAAGGTAGAGGTTCTCACCTTCACGGAGGCGACGTTGGGGAAAAGGATATCTGGATGGACGAGTAAATACTAGATTGCGTGGTCCATCCAGATCGGTCCCGCCCCATAGTCCTTTTCTCTCTCCGTAGCGCATCTGCACCTGAGGTATGGCCGACCGACATTCCAACTCTTCCTGAGACCTTTCAGATCGATCTCAGGGGCCGTCTTCACTTTCTTCTGCCACACGACTGGGCTGGAGTAATCACATTTCGTTTGGTCGAGGGCCGACATCAGTGGAAACGTTAGGAGGGTCAAGTTAAAGGCCTTTTTCCTGGGGGGCAGTACGGGAGCGCGCCAGTCAACGCGTTTGCCTTACATGTGGCGACCTCCTCGTCGGTCAGGTTGACGAGGAAAATGAGGGCCTTTACCGAGAACGGAGCGAGATGATTAAAAGTATACAGTTTCCACAGCGCATGCATGAACCCCGTGCTAGTGTGCTCAACCCAGTGCAGGGATGGAAGCAGAGCAAATGCAGTGTACTGCCTTCCTTGGGAGGATGAGGCCTTCTCCAGGGTGCAGCTAGCAGTGGCGGTTAGTGCGGCTATCTCTGCGTTCAACTCAGCCATCTCTTCATCGTCCATGGCGAGAGCTCCCACGATGGTGCAACCAACCGTTGGAGTCTCGGCGGCCTGCCCCTGCAGATGCGAGTGATCTAATCCCAAATCCTAAGAAACGTTTGCTCAACTCTAGCGGTTCTGGCCGGCAGTTCCAAGCATTCTCTCTCATAATCGGTTTTCTTCTTCTCTAGGCACGCAGCAGTGTCTAGGAGTTTGGCAACAAAGGGGTCCTTCCCTAGATCCCAGACGACCAGACACATGCAAGATTAGCAACATCACTAAATCCAATCATGCAGAAAAAATTCGAAAAATCCCCTCGTCTCGACCATTCCCTTCATCGCATCCAGGATCTCGAGTTTCAGTGTGGCAATGAGCGTTTGCGCCAGTTTGCTGGGCTACGGCTGTTCCTTTAGCCATCCGTACTTACACGTGAGTTCGTCCCACCAACCTCCCGGGAAGAACTCCTTCGGCGGAATATGCAGCAAACACAAAGACACAAAAGAACGCAAACACATGTACGACACAATACGTACCGATTTGAAACAAGGAAGGTTGGTGGAATAGCGACGTTCTTCAGCCTCGTCCTGGCAGCTACGTGGACGGGTTGATCCCATGTAATCGCATTTCCCTGTCCGATTGGGCCTCGTTGGCGACTGCCTATGCAACACTACGCCTGTACCACAGGGGCATGGTTGGTGGGACACACCACCAACAGCGCAGACGGGAGGTCCCTCCCGTGTGTGTGTTAGAGTTCTTCATGACAATCATGTCGATGCAAAATACGGAAACCGTATTGCCATCAAGCTCCGAAGTAATTCATTGGCATACCCCCGCTGTCCTTATTAGGCGAGCATAGGACTTCTCAAGCCACATACCCTGTCCCGTGGGATTCCTGCGTGTGAATCATGACCAGAACCTGTCCCCATGTATGCGCGATCTGTTGACCCAGAGATATATCCTTCTGAGGGCGAGTAGATTAAAAAAGATTAAAAAAGAACATACATCCCTCATTCGGCAACACCTTAAAGTAAGAAGATCGTAAGTGCATATGATCGATTGCAGATAATATGACGACCGATGCCTGCGTCCGGGGCATCGGGCTGCATTGAGCTATCTGCGCTTAGAAAACATCATGCAATAGTCGTTATACCTTCCATATTATTTGCGGAGTTTATATCTATATACAAGGGTGCATGCGCTTTGTTCATGGAGAAAGTCTTATGCGCCGTGTATCGCAAGCTCATTCCTGCGCTCTGAAAAAACAACACTTATATGGGGAGGATCATATATGTCCCTCCGGTGCATGCAATCATTAAAATGCTATAATCTTACACCCATATACAACTCTGTCCAATACACTCAAACCGTGTGTCCGATTTTGAATTCAACGCGGGTTCCACGTTGAAAATTTCAACGCGCGTTGAATTCACGTTAAACTCTCGTTCAATCGCGAGTTGGACGCGAATTAACGGGGTCTGGGATGATTTTTTTTGTGGGCTAAAAATTATCCCAAAAAAAAACAAAACATATGGGGTTGTAGGTTGTTTTCAGGACTACAACCCTGTATTTTGGTTTTTATTTTTTGATGCTTAAATCTATTTTAAAAAAATCAAAAACATAAACACACAATGAAAAAACAAACTAAAATGAAATAAGTGTTTTTTGTTTTGGGTTTCACACATATTTTTTACGGGCCAAAACAAAAACAAATAAAACAAATAAAAAATAAAGGGTTGTAGATCTTTCAAAGAGGTACAAAAATTTATTTTTTATTTTATTTTTTTGGAAATTCGTGTATTTAAAAAAAAAATCAAAACCATAAAAAGCTAATTAAAAAAAGGAAAAAAAGACACACACACACACAAAATTGGGCCTATAGCAGGTTGCATGAGTCTGACGTCGGTTGGTTGAGGGAACCCAGGTCCTCGGCCGCCTGTATGAATTTATGGAAAGCAGGCCCTGGGCTTGATACGGGTAATGGGCCAAACACAGGCCAAAGGCAGTTGGGGGCATGCAACCACCTCAGGCCCAAGGGTTGTTCTCGTTCGTGCTGCGCCTCAGGCTACCGGGGCCTACTGGAAGCTTCTTGGGACTGAACACAGGCAGGCCACTTCGATATAGCAAAGGGTCTGCCTCCACATTGGGCATTCGGGTGCTGGCTGCATGCTGCGTAAGCGCTGCCGCGCTGTAGCTCGTGCCACTCACTCGCTCACGGGCGAGCAGGAAGGAGCAGGAAGGAGCAGGCAGCCATAGCCGAGTTGCGCTGCTGTAAGCTGGGTATGGCGCAGGGTGGTCTTTGGGTGCAAGTGGAATCTGTGTGTTGGGGAACGAGGTTGTGAGTAAGGCGAGACACACTCTCACGCGCAGGCACAGACACACTTACACTTACACACACACACACTTACAAACACTCACATACACACACACACTTACAAAAAAACACATACACAAACACACACATACACAAACACACACATACACATACACATACACACACACTTACAAACACACACATACACTTACAAGCACAGACACACACACACACACTTACAAACACACACATACACAAACACACGCGCATACATTCATATTCATGCACAGACACGCTCTCACGGCAGGCACACATATACACAGATACCCGCACACACAACACACCTACACACACATAACTGGGGCATTGGGGGTTGGGGGATGTGGGGGCGGATGGGAGGTGCTTCCGGGGTTGGGGGGAATTGTTTTTTTTTATTATTATTATTATAATTTTTTTTTGGCTAGGGCCACGTGTTCCGGACCCCGCGCATCAATTCTGTTTTTCCGAAAAGCGCAGGAGCGGCCCATTTTCGCGTTTAACGCGAATTCAATGGGATTTTTTGGAATTTAACGGGATTCAACGGGAGTTTAATTCCCCCGTTCTGCGTTAAAAAGATACACAACACTCAACCCATCGGCGAGGGAAGATACAGCTCCCTAGTGGGCTACTATACTCGGGAGACATGAGTGCGTCATGAGTTATTCCCTATGAGGTCCGGAAAAAATTGATCGTAGCTCCAGAGTGGGGGAGCGATACCAACCAACGACCCGCCCGTGGATCAATCCGTGACTTGATCGAGCGCCGTCAGTGGGATCGTTCTTCCACCCAAGGCCAGCGTGAAAAACAACCACGTATTCAGTCCCTTTGATTACCCTGGTGGAATCCAAACATATCCGTTCATGCATGTAGACTTATAATTTCCGTTCAAAATGCATAGTAAGAAATACGCATTCCCATCATACCCATTTCTAAGCAATCCAATC